TCAATAGATCCATCCGGTTTCAACTTTTTTCTTAAGACCCATTTGCAACCAATTGTTTTACAACCCGGTGGTAAATCAACTAACTTCCAAGTTTTATTAGAAATTTGTGATTTCATTTCATCATTTACAACCTCTTTCCAAAAGATGGAGTCATGTGAAGATAAAGCTTCTTTTAAAGTTAGAGGGTCATCTCCAACATTAAACACATAAAATCAGGACCAAAATCTTTTTCTACTCTAGCTCTTTTACTTCTTAACTCAAAATCATTGACTTCTTTATTTTTCAAAGTAGAAGTAGAAGAACTAGGTAGTGACAAAATATTTTGGTCAATCCTTTGACCCCCACTATTTTTAGAATCTAAAGAAAAGTTATTTTCATGAAAAATAGCATCACCTGATTCTATCACAATATTATCTTCAAGATTAAAAAATCTATAGGCTCTACTATTTGAAGTATAACCAAGAAAAGCACAAGTAGTAACTTTCTTACCAGATTTTGTAATCTTGGGATCCATTAGCCTCACAAAGGCTAGACAACCCCAAACTCTTAGATATCCCAAACTTGGCTTGTAACCTAATTTCCACAATTCAAAAGGTGTCAGTTTTGACTTTTTATGAGGCACACGATACAACACATAACAAGCAGTTAAAATAGCTTTACTCCAAAAATTTAAAGGTGCATGTGACTCAATAAGCATGGCATTAGTCAATTCAATCAAAGTTCTATTTTTCATTCCGCTACACCATTAGATGAAGGAGAATAGGGAGGAGTAGTTTCATGAATTATTTCCAATGATCTAACAAAAGAATTAAACTCATTTGACTCATATTCACAGCCTCTACCACTTCTAATTCTTTTTATTTTTCTTCCAAACTGATTTTCAACCTCATGGAGATAAGTTTTGAAATTTTCAGAAGCATCACTTTTATTTTTCATCAAGTAAACATATGTAAACTTAGAAAAAACATCAATGAAAGTGATAAAATATCTATTACCTCCACGAGTTAAAATTCCACCAATCTCACAAATATCAGTATGAACTAATTCTAACAAATCAATTTTTCTTTCAACTTGAAAATGAGGCCTTTTAGTGATTTTGGCTTTACTACAAGCCTCACATTTTTTCAAAATTCTTTTTAACTATTGGGATTAATCCTAAATTACTCATGATTCCAACATAACGATCATTAATATGACTCAAACGAGCATGCCAAAAATTAGTACAAGAAAACATATAAACAGAAGTAGAAGCTTTATTCACTTCTACATTCAATTTGAACATCCCATCACAAGCATACCTCTTTCCCACAAAAATATCCTTCTTCACAATTATATATTAATCAGATTCAATAATTTGTTTAAAGCCTCCTTTATTAAGAAGAAAACTAGACATCAATTTTTTTCTCATGCAAGGAGTATAGAGTACATCTTTCAAAGTTAATACCCTTCCAGAAGTAAAACACAATTCGACATCTCCCATTCCAAGCACTTGAGTTTTGTGAGAATCACCAAGCATGATGGTTTTGGGCTCCTCAAAATGAGTATATTTTTTAAACCAATCTTTGTCATAAACAGACATAACGATTTGCACCAGAATTAGCCCACCATCCATCAATACTTTCAACCATGTTTATGTCGGTAATCACTGCCACAAAAGGTTCTTCAGTAACGTTTGCCTGAGGGTTAGGACCACATTTCTGGAATCTGCAAAATCGAGCAATATGCCCACTCTTGCCACAAACAAAGCACAATCTCTTATCTTGAACTTGTTGATTTTGTGCTTGGTTATTTTCACCATTATTTTTCTTGGGAGGTCTACTATTATTTTCTTAAATTTTTTCTTCTTAGGCTTCAAAGAAGTATTTTTGTGAGTTTCAAGAGTCGCATTGTTTGAAGTAATTAAATTTACCTTCGTTGTGATGCTGCTCTCTTCTTTTTGTAAAAGTGCATCTTGGCCCCTTTCCTCTTCACCATCGTACTTTTCCACTTTCTCATTATGAGAAAGAAGTTCATCATCATCCATGAAGGTGTCATCAACTTTATTAGGATTCTTCTTAGTTAACACATAAGAAACATTGAGAAGACTTAAGTAGAAAAATACTTTATCCTTCCATCTTTTGAAATGGTTATCATTGAACCGAAATGACTTGTTAAGGTCTCCCATCTTGACATCCGCGGTTTTTTCAATTGTAGCCATCATGATTCTCCTTAATTTTGTTAGTGAAAATCTTACAAGGTAACAAAATTACAAGATTACAATTGAAAATAAAATGAAGAAATAAAATCTCTTCAAGGCTGAGGCGCGGATATCTCGCTCTCTTTAAGGAGATTCAAGCTCACTGCAACAAATGTTTTCATCGGTCCAGCAGTAGTTTTCTTGACTTGTCCCCTCCAGGATACAACAACCTAATCATAAAATATAATTCAACAACTCTGGACAAGAGTTGAGTTCAAAGCTCTACAAAAAAAACACATCCCTTCAACTAATAAGAACTCTCTTTTTAGACTAACTTTTTTCCTCTCTATATCTTATCTTATGTATTGTGTGTGACTAACCAAATGAAGACCACCACTATTTATAGTAGAAGAAGTCTTCCTAAGAATAAATAGGAAGATAATGAGGTAGTAAATAGTGAAGATAATGGTCTTAGGAGTTACATAGGTTACAATGTATAATGGGGAATAAAGAATGAATCATATATGAGAGGTTACAAAAGTTTTAATGGACAATGAAACCTCTCCTGGCTGAATAGTAAAAGCCAACCGTTGGTGGCATGCAACCAAGAATGAGATGCAGTAACTCCAAAACGGAGTAATGCTCAAACTTAATGTTCCAACGGCAAAGTAATTGCCATTACACCCAACTTCTGTAACATATATGAGAAGTCAACCAACGGATAACTTACAGCAAAGGCAATACTATCCGGGGCGGATCTATGAAGGGGTGTAGGGGTGCCACGCCACCCCCGAACTTCGACGGAAACTCTATATATACATAGGTATATATATATATATATATATATATATATATATATATATATATATATAATATTTATATAAATATAAAGCGTGCCACTCAGAGAACAAAACTAGCATGTGGTGCCACGGTAGGAAGGCAACTTTAGAAGGTTGATGTTGCGGGTTTGAATCCCATTTGTGCCTATTTTTTTGAGAAATTTGCTGTAGACATTTTTTAAGAAAAAAAAAAGGCTCCAAGCACCTTTTTTTTAAGGAAAAACAACTGGCACATTATTTTATTTTATTAATAATTGTTATTGACTTAAATTAAATTAATTACATTATTACTCCTTTGACTTTTCACTTGTTTATTTACTTGTAAAGTTGATTTTGATTTTACCTGTTGCTACGACAACTGTGGAGAGAGCATTTTTGTCAATGAAGCACAAAAAAAATTAATTGCGGAATAGTATTGGTAATCAATATTTAAATGATTGTCTAGTGTATTACATAGAGCGTGATGTATTTATAAATGTTAGTAATGATGTTATTATCGATCATTTTCAGAATATGAAAACTCGTCGAGGACAATTGTAAATGAATGATGAATATTTATAATATTAGTAATATTATTGAAAGTTTTAAATTTGTTAACTTCATGCTTTTAGTGTGGAGTGTGGATTTGTAATATCTTATTATTTATATTTTATTGATTGATTTATGATATATATCGAAAAGACGAATAATTTAATCAAATATAAAATTAATTTAATCGATAAGTCTATTTGACACCCACGAACTCTAAATCCTGGATCCGCCACTGAATACTATGACTCCAAAGTATTAGCAAATTAAAATACAAAATATTAATATTAAAATGCTGACCAACAACAAATATATTTTCCCAACAATGAATCCTCATCCTACTCTAAATCTAAATTACATTTTTTTTTTACCAAAATCGTCTTTTTTAAAATGATTTAATAATTTCCCAAAAATTAAGTAGTGATTCTATTAATTTAAAATAAAATAAATTTTCGCCGAAGTTATGAATATTTTTAAACTTGATTTGAAAATCGATCGAAACACCCACCACAATGGAGTGGAGCAAACGAAGCAAGTTAGAAACAATCCTAGGGTTGGAACTTGAAGGATTAGCAGTATATATATATATATCCCTTGATATACTAAAGGAGACGTTTAATAAAAAAAATTGCATAATGAGATCCTAGCATTTAAATAAAGTGGAATTTAAGCATTTGGACCACTATTTCAATCGAAGAATTTTACAAAAACAAATGTGAAAATTTTCAAAAATAATTAATTGCAAGGGTAATATAGAAAAAAATATTAATTAATGCTTTCTTGATTTAGTAAGGTGGACAACTAATACGAGACAACTATTTTTAGTATAATGATCAACTAATATGAGACGGGGGCAATATTATATATTAATTTGAGATTGTTGTTCTAAATTAAAAACCCATAAATCTCAAATCATGGATTCGCCTTTGCTTAGTGATGGTTGTTTTTTGGAAACCATTGAGGATGGAGACGTAATTAGAAATGATGAGGGCTAACTCCTCATGACCTATTCTATTCCTCTAGACCGAAAAAATAGGAATTGAAGCTGAAGCAAATTTCTTTCTTATTTGGCCTCAATTGGTTTTTAGACAATGACTAAAATATGATCATGACTCAATTGGTTTTTAGACAATGACTAAAATATGATCATGACTCAATTGGTTTAATTTTGTATTTAACAATTGGGATACTCCTTGGAGGATCAAAGAAACCATCAAGAATATTAGCGCGATTGTAACTAGAACTATCCTTAGACACTGTTTTAGAGAAGCTAATCAAGTTGCGAATAAGCTAGCTTCTCTAAGTAAATGGCCAATGAACCCTCAAACAAAAGTATTGGGCCCAACAAAGGTACACATGTAAGTGTGGTTGATAAGAGTACCACATCGTAATGTGAGTGAGAAAGCAAAAAGCTAGTATATAAGGAGCTCGTGCATGTTAGTCAAGGAAAATCACGCAGCCACGCGGTGAGCACATAGCTAACTATTCTTTCGCCTTTTACTAAATAATATCTTGTGCACGCTGCAATTAATGGTATACACCAATTTTTGGAGGGATTTTCTTAACTGAAGATCCCAACAATTCAAATTAACAAAAGTTTGTGGGTTGTTCTTAATCAAATTTTTTATATATTTTCTTTGTTTTAGAGTAGCATTGAACTATTTGCTAAAGTAATATAAAGCCAACATTTATAAAAGTTATGAAATTGAATCTATATTAGCAAGGTAACAAAAGGGTTGAAAACATAAAGCGGGGAGGGTTAATAGCACAAAAACTTGTTATGTGGGGTGCCTTGAAATTATTACGGGCTAAATTAAAGCTCAATCCACACGGCACAGTCCCATTATCATCTCTAAGCAATAATAATTAATATACTCAGTATCCTAGCACATAGTGTGGATGGTTCTATATTAACATTTAGCAATAAATTTGATTGGAACAAATATTCATCGACAAAATAATTAACAAGATGATAATGTAGGTGCTAGAATAGAAATCTTAACTATTTAAGTTCTATATTGACATGTAGTAAAGCTTGAGGAAACTTCATAAAATCTAAAATGAAGAACAAGATGACATAACATTCACCTCTACAAGTGAAGGACAGCGAGCTAGCTTAAGCTTCATGAAAAGATGTTCATTTACAGAGTTTACAAAACCTTGCAACATTATCTTTCGAACTGCCATGGGATCTTCTTCTATGAAGTCAGATGCTTTAAGATACTCTTTGACTCTGATCATGCTACTTTTATTTATAATGACCCTTTAGGTCATTTTCTTCAATTTCTGATCTTTTCAGCAGTAAGAGCTTTCATGTAGGGACACTTGCTGGGACTAACGATTTAGTCGTCGGGTTGTTCATTTTGATTTGCGCAAGTTTTTGTATTTTGGAGCCTTTGATACGTGAACGTTTGACTTTAGTCAAAAGTTCAGGTAGACAGCCTTAGAATAAAATTCTGATGGTTTTATCAGCTCTGGAAGGACCATTTTAGGCTAGGGGCATGGTTGGCTTGGACCCCGATAATTCAAGTGCGAGTTTGTGCCGTTAGGCATTTTAAATTTGAAGTTTAAGGTGAGGGTTGACTTGTCAACATTCTTGGTAAACTTACTCTTGTGAGAATTCTTCAGTGCGGTTAGCTCTGAAATGTCGAGTTTGGTCTAGAATGACCCCTTCTGTGGTTCCCTAGGATTTCAATTTCATTTTGAGCCTTCTTGTGATTTTAAGCTCAAAATAAAACTTGAGTGTGGGACCCACTTTTCTGAAAATTGACCTCGAATGTAAGTTTCGATGGTTCCATTGAATTCGGAATGTTGAATTTAATGGGATAGCATATCTATTTTATCTTTAACGGACCCCGAACAAATTTCAAGGGTCCGTTCAGAGACTTTGAAAAATTGAAAAATCTGGTGTTGATAGTGCCAGGCCTTTAGTGGTAAGAATTTAGTCTTTTAGCGACCAGATATAGCTTTTAGAGACCAAAATCGCTGCTATTTAAATAGCAAAGTGTCATATTAAGCCCTCATTTTAAAACTTCGATATCTCAAGTTAGAAGCTCTGTTTTCGGTGATTCAAGTTGCGTTACGTCTGAAACTAGTAAGGCTACATGTAGGAACGTGGAAGTCGGCGTATATAGGTAATTTCTTTTCGGAAGGGGATGCCCAAGTCCTTTAATGGTATTTTTCTAGTGTATTATTGCATGGACTGTTTAGACCATTTTGAAGCTTAGATTGTGCCTATTTTCGAGGCACAAGCTCCTTGGGCTATTTAGAACCTTTTGACAGAGTGAATTTCAGAATTCCTGTTGTGGGTCCCACATTCCCATTTTGACTCCATTTTGGGCCCATTTTCAATTGTTGTGATTTTAGTGTCAAAGCGTCTATAATGATGATGTGATAGATAATTTGATATATGGATGTGGACTGTGGCATTTCGGATGTGGATAGCTCATGTGTGGTAGATTTGGAGCGGTTTAGTTTCAGCTTTGAGGTAGGCTTCGGTCTATTTTCTTGATTAAACTTTTTAGATAATGCCTAGTATAGATTTCATGTAATTTCGGATGGTATTTTCTGGGTATTTAGTTTTTTTATCTTGTTATTCCATCCTTTCTTAATGCTGTAGGAGCCTTGGGCTTATTGTAGGTATTATAATCTTTAGTTTAGGTTGTGGCATCGCTTGTGGTGTAGATGATCTTTCGTATCCTCTTTAGAAGTGAGTCGTGGTTGCCTTGGACTAGACTGGACATTAGGTGTTTTAGGTTGTGTTTTATCGCCTCGTAGTTATAGTTTGCTCCCATTAGGTCTTGTTTTTGTGGTCTCTTTGCAATGATGCTTGTGACCCTAGTGGCTCGTCATAGACATGGGTTGGTCCCACCTGTGCTCAGTCTAGGACTGGAGCGGTGTGCTTGGGGTAGAGCGTCATCCCTTGAGTTTGCTCCCCTTTTATTCATTTGAAATCTTTCTTGATCCCTTTGCTTGTTGATTAGCGATGGGCATCTTGTATCCTTATTGAGCTTAAAATTATACTGTTGGGCTCGAGATCGTAGGTGATGAACTATTGGATTCCAAGTTAGTACTCTCTGCCTTGGTAGTGTGGTTCCATCGGCGGTATAATTATTTGATTTATTTTTGCCTTGTTTGAATGCTGGTGATGTCATGCATTGCATTGTTTGAGCATTTTCACAGATTTTGTAGTACAATCCCAGCCCATGCATTGGCATATTTATCATTCATGATAAGATACTGTTTTATTTAGTTTTTATTCTAAATTATTTTTAAAGCGAATTGTACCACCTGGATCACTTTACTTACTGATTTTTGAGATTCGACGCGTCAGGGAGGTGATGCTTTTTATACTTGAGATATTAGAGGCATTGAGGATTTACTCAGTTTTTACTTAAATAATCAGTGTGTCGATGCCCTTTCATGCATGCTTTTGGTCTTGCTAGTTCCCCTAGGAGTGTACTGACTGGGTAGGCGGGCCCATTATTGGTAATTCATGGTTCGAGGTCGTTTCTTCAAGTTTGAGGCCATTATTTCCAGTCCGAGGCTGATGTTGATGGTTCAAGGCCGTTTCCCAATCCGAACCTGATGCTTTGCGGTTCGAGGTTGTGTACCTCTGGTTAGAGTTTTGGATGGTTAGTGATTGTTCTGTTGCTCACCCTGAATTCACATGTATTTCTTATCACCAATATAGTTGTTTGTACCTTCTGGTTTATGAGGACCAGTTCGATTATGTTTGTCGTTTGTATCTTCCGGGCTTATGGGGTTCGGGAAGGTTATTGTTTGACTATATTTTGTTCTTTCCTATTGTCACGATCGAAGGGTACCCCCTAGACGTAACATGACACATAACACCCCTAAAGGCGCTATGTAAGCCACTTAGCATATCATCACCTAAGTAAAGAACAATAAAGAGTAAAAACACATTTTTCAAGTCTTAAATTTTCATAAAAGCAAAGTGGAAGTCTAGACATAGTCTCATTTAGCCATCTATTACAATCGAAGTCTCAAAAATAGGGTCGCAACCCTTACAATAGAAATCTGAAAAGTTTTATACAATTAGAGGAAGAGAACAACAAGATAGCACCCGTCCTCGGATCCATGAGGACTCATCACAAGCTTTGGAGAATAATCAATCCAAGCTTTGAACAAGAAGGAAGATCACCTCAAACGCCGAAACCTACACTTTGTAGAAAAATGTAGAAGAAATACGGGTTAGTACAAATATGCACTAAGTATGATAGTCATGCATAAATATCCTTGAAATCATGCTAAAATGGACATTTTATTTGAAATGTATGCACTTTACCAAGTTTAGAGTTCATTATGAAAATTACTGTAAAAGCATAAGATACAAGCATATTCAACATATTGATCATCACATCACAATGGACACAATCCATAAGTACCCTCAAAGCATCCTAGTACAATGTATGAATAAGATCCCATATTTCTATACACACTAAGGAAAGCTTATTAAGTAACTATAGTTCATAACTCAAATTCTAGTGCATATTATCATAGTGGGATTAGCTTTAACAGACATAGACCATGAGAGCTTAATCATGGAATACAATGTCTACCCCACACCGAAAAGATGTTGTCCTACTTGCCTAAGGTATAACTCATCTATTAGCTTAGATGGATCCACTAGCTAAAAGACCTATGAGGGCACATAGTTTATGGGATAAGGGGATTGCTACTAGAAAACCCGACCTCTACTAACGTAAGGGCTTCACTCCCAAGAGATTGTTCCTAGAAACCCGATCTCTACTATCGCGAGGGCATCCATATCATATCACTATCCACTCAGTGCTAAGCATAATTCCCATTGAGTTTATATTAAGTCTTGCCTTAAATTGATAATTATGGAAGAATGTCTTGACACTCAATCCAACAAACTCATGCTAAAGCTCCTAGATTCATTAGGGGAGACTAGTCTTCAACCCTTAGAATCACTATATGTGACAAACCTTTCACATTGTATGATATTCATACCTAAGTGTGTACATGAGAATAATCATCAAATCAACACAACAATTAGATTATAATGTAGTCACTTTACTTTCAAAGCAATCTAATTGTATACACACAAGTCTCATACACATAGCTAATTCCCATGTTTTTCCCTCCAAGGATTATAGATCACATTCAACCAATCAATCTAGAATTACTACATTAGATATAGATGGTGACACAATTCAATTAACTAAACTACTACAAGTACAATTTCATAGTTACTACAATTCACCCAAATCACAAGTCATAATAGGGTTATGGGGAATTCATGGATTCATGGGAGATTTTATCATAAAACAACAATTCAATCATAATATAAGATAATTAAATCATTGAAAACGTTTTTAGAAAGAACCCATGACTTGGAATGAAAACCCTAGGTTTTTGGAGACTTTTCTACTTTGAAATTGAGAGTTTGAGGACTTCATGGATGAAAGCTAACCATGAATCAAAGGCTATCATACCTTAGATGAAGAAATCCACAAAAATCGTGTGAGAAAGCTTCCTTCTTCAAGCCCTAGTCGGATCTTCTTCTTCTTCTTCTTGGGGTTTCTAG